TTTTGTAAAGGAAGAAGTTGCTTCAAATGGCCTGAGGAACCCGCCACTTTCGGATTGCGAGACATTTTTGGGACACCCTGTATATACAGACAGAATGTGCAGTATCAGACTCTGTACAGTACATATCAGACTCTGCCGTCCAGAGAAATAGCTTCGCGCAGAATTCGGCCGTACCTAAAAGGTTAAAGAAGCACGTGATTCGGCGAACGACGGGGAAGGTTTTTTTTTATTTGAAACGTTAAAAAATTGTCTTTCATTTTCTCGTGAAAGAACGAAACAACTTTCTGAACGACCCAATAATACATTTTCGAGTTTTCAAGTAATTTCGAATACGGTCGTTTCGTCGAAGAGAAATATTGCTTTAAACTTCTGCCCTACGATTTAAATTTCATGAACGCGTGCCATAAACAACAACAAGAAGATCGGTCACACATCGAATCCTTTCACGGTTGCGCGAAACGTCTGAAATTGTGCCAATCGCGACATTCTTACGAAATGTAAATACAGCGACGCTTATTCTGTGTTCGACGAGTATACTCGTCGTCGCTTAGTGCGTCAAGCGACGCATATAGGTACGCGTTCTAAAAAGGAGGCGCCGCAGCTAACTGGTTAAATTTTAAAGAACAGAATAACATCTCGATAATATAATAATATAAATAATAATATATAATAATAAAATAATAATTTATAATAATAATAAATAATATATAATAATAAAATAATAATTTATAATAATAATAAATAATATATAATAATAAAATAATAATATATAATAATAAAATAATAATATATAATAATAAATAATATATAAATAATAACTCGATAGGCTATTGCTAGAAATTTTCATAGCGAGTCGGACCTCGTCACAAAGTACGGCAAGGGGTTAACAATGCTCGACGATTGCGCAGCACGGCGAAGTCTTCGCCGGATGCGCGTAGCGTCGCAAGCTCTCCGACAACTCGAAGGAAGGAAGAGAGGGGTCGGTCAGCGTCGGCGAACACAGCGGGGTCACGCAGATTTATCAATTTAGCTGTACGACGCAGGCGGTTGTGTGTCTCGATGCCGTAATCGCGTCGCACAACACCGCTGAACGAGCTCCGCCCTCTTTGTTTGTGCTCGCTCTTTGCTCAACGGTTTGCTAGCTCGCGCTTAGCTAGCCGCGAGCGATCCGCGAGAGTTCAGCCTATCCGCGCGGCACGCCTCGCGGTGCCTCGATTGCGGTGAAACGAGAGCTCTCTTAGGGTCCTCGTGGCCCGATCGATCTCTCGGTGCCTTCGAGCCTCTTGTGTCTTCCGTTTGCGCATAATAAAGGAGTGCGCGAGCGCGTTTCTCCGAGTGCCGAAAAAGAGATCACTCGAGTGAAACGGAAGCGAGACGCGGGGGCTAAACAACACGGCAACGCGACGCGACGAAGCAAAGGGAGAGGAGGGCCTGTGCTCGTCCGAGTCGAGTAGGTTCCCGTAACCCCGGAAATCTTCTCCTCGAGAGGAGAGAGAGCCGGGCCCAGACGGTCGAAGCCACTCTTTTCTTCTTTTCTTTTCCCCAAGACGCGTCGGCCCCGAGGAAGGTTTTATTCTCGATGTCGCGCATTCGTCTGTCGGCGCACCCGCGCTCTGTTCTAGGAGTCATTGCCCTTCTCCCGGTCTATCCCGAGGTTCTCACGCGTTTCCATAGTCCGGGCCGGGCCGGGCCGGGCCGTGTCGTGTCGTGTCGTGTCGTGCCTTGGCTTGTCCTCTCCCGCGTCTCGCCCCGCCGTCCCTCCGTCCGGCAGCGCATCGCGCTCGCTCGTACCGTGCCCGTGTCACCTGTCTGCGAAAACAGGTGCCTATTCAGGCGGCGAGATCGCTTCCCCCCACCCCCGCTGCGTCCCGCGCCGCGCCGCTAGACCGACGGTCGACGCATTGCCCATTGAAAAAGAGTGGCTGCGCGCGGCCAGGGTTGAAGGCTGGCTGCCGGTCGCGAACCGAGGGTGCATCCCGTCGTTTCTCTCGACTAATGGCCTTTTTTAGAACCGCCCCCGCGCGAGATACGCGCTACCTACCCCCCGAGCGAAATCCCGTTCTCTCTGCCTACCGATCGTCGGCTCGAATGCCGGCGCGCAATTGCCTTCCCAGGCGCTTTTCGACGCACCTTCGTCGCACAAATACAACGATGCCTCCCTAATTGACGCTCGGATTGTCCACAAAGATGTCCGCAAGGAGTTGAAGTATTACATTTTATTGAATTATTTTATTTTATTTCTTGTTCAATGAATAATTGCACTTTGCATCTAAGGATTCCCCCTTAGTACTGTGATGTACTATGACATAACCTTGACATAACCTTGCATCTGAAATATTACATTTTATTGAATTAATTTATTTTATTTCTTATTTAATGAATTATTGCACTTTGCATCTAAGGATGCCCCATAGTACAGTAATGTACTGTGGAATAACCTTGACATAACCTTGCATCCGAAACATTACATCTTATTGAATTATTTTATTTTATTTCTGATTTATGAATTATTGCACTTTGCATCTAAGGATGCCCCATAGTACAGTAATATACTATGGCATAACCTTGACATAACCTTGCATCTGAAATATTACATTTTATTGAATTATTTTATTTTATTTCTTGTTTAATGAATAATTGCACTTTGCATCCTGTCTCTTATACACATCTAGATGTGTATAAGAGACAGCCGTAGTACAGTAATGTACTATGACATGACCTTGACATAACCTTGCATCTGAAATATTACATTTTATTGAATTAGTTTATTTTATTTCCTATTTAATGAATTATTGCACTCTGCATCTAAGGATTCCCCGTAGTACAGTAATGTACTATGACATAACCTTGACATAACCTTGCATCCGAAACATTACATCTTATTGAATTATTTTATTTTATTTCTTGTTTAATGAATTATTGCACTTTGCATCTAAGGATGCCCCATAGTACAGTAATGTCTCCCTAATTGACGCTCAGATTGTCCACAAAGATGGACAATTTGGGAAGAGGAGATACGATTATTCGAGCCTTGCAGCTCGTTTTTATAGTTATCGACAATCGGTGATTATAAAAGACGAGCCACAGGGCTCGAATAATCGCGTCTCCTCTTCCCAAATTGCCCATTATAGTGCAGAATTTGGGCGACAATTAGGGAGACATTACTGTAGAAACCTGCGTTCAACGCGTTTGACTACAAAGAAGTTCGTCTCTACGGGATTATAAAGGGTGGGAGGGGACTGGAGAAGATAGGTGGGGATGAATCTAGGGAAGTCAGGGAAATGTCACGCAATCCGGAAATAGCGGGTTCCTCGGATCATTTGAAGCAACTTCTTCCTTTAGAAAAATTTTCTCCGAGGCACCGTTAACGAGTTATTAACGAAAGTGTAGTGTTCAAAATGTTCAACTTTAAATTGTCGTATCTATTACAATTTATGATCATTTTTATTGATATTTCCATTTTCGTGGGTAATGGACATTTAATAAGCAATAAAAATTGACTGGACATCAATATGAGAAAATTAGGTTTTTGTCAAGAAGTCACTAAAATATTCGATCTCGGATCTTTAATCTCCAGGCGAAAATGTAACCGCGAACGTATCGCGTTTTTGTTGCAGGCTGTCCAAATGCCAGTCCATCGCGCGAGCCACACGAAAACCACCGACTCCGGAGCTGCTTTCCACGAGCGTGAGTATTGAAACAATGGAGAAATGGTACTTATCAGCGACTCGGTTTCACGGTGATTTTACGCGAGGCCCACCGTGAATAATTCACCGTCGTGACGCGTCGACTTCGCCACCGATTTCGAATTCCCGATTCGCGATGTTCGCGGGCTCTTGCTCGCGTAATTGGATCCACTTGGAATATTGGATATTCTTTTCAGAACTGCGAGAGGTCGCACGGCGAGAAGAAATTTTCCGCCATTTTCTGTTCGTCGGGTTCCATTACGCTCGCGGGACGAAACTTGTACGGGTTTCTGTTCGCGCTGTTCGAAGCTGAAGTGTCTTCCATAGCTGTAACGTTATGGGGAAAAACATAACGAGCGTTCCCGCGGTACAGTAATGTCTCTCTAATTGACGCCCAGATTGCGCACAAAAATGGACAATTTGGAAGAGGAGATGCGATTGTTCGAGCCTTGCAGCTCGTTTTTATAATTGTTGACAATCGATAACCATAGAAAACGAGCCACAAGACTCGAACAATCGTATTTCCTCTTCCAAAATTGTCCATTTTCGTGGACAATCTCAGCGTCAATTGGAGCGATATTACTGTACGTCACACAGTGGTCGATACCAGCAGTCGTGGCACATTTAACCCCTTGCCGTACCATTTTCTTCATAATCAAAATGATAAGCACATTTTCGACTGTAATAATTTCTTCGAAAAAAAAGAAAATTTATATTTATCGCGAGTCTACATTTATTGGGACGATTAAAATATTGATCACAAGAGGACAGAATTTTATCCCGGCTTAAAAAAACGGAATAACGTTGGTATTTAATAGGATATTACTAGAAATCTGCGCCACGAGTCTGACTCGTTAAAGTACGGCGAGGGGTTAAACCTTGAAAGCGCGGAAAAAAGGTTTTAAGCCATACGCCTAACTTATTCACTGTAATGAAAATTCTATCCAAACAATTGAATCGACCGTAGATCGAACGCAATCGCTCGCAAATCGAGTAAAACTTGAAGCACCGCCGATTTTCATCCCACTTTTTCGAAAAATCGACCGCTGTGCGCTGCAGCCTGGTGCAGTAATGTCTCCCTAACTGACGCTCAAGTTGTGCACAAAACTGGACAATTTGGAAAGGGAGGTACGATTATTGGAGCCTTGTGGCTCGTTTTTATAATTGTGGACAATTTATAACTATAAAAATGAATCGCAAGGCTCGAATAATCGTATCTCCTCTTCCCAAATTATCCATTTT